TGATACATTTAAAGAAAAACAGTTGAAAGCATATTTCTCTGTGGAAGTGAAGAATATCACCTGCTTTGTGCGGTGGGCCACTGTATCGAAAGCAACTATCTAAGATACCTGGACCACCTGGCTCCTTTGTGCTCCTCCTGGTCCTTGTAGGCATTTTGTTTTGATCCAAAATCAGAGTCACCTCTCTGGCCTCATAGCCTAGAGATGTGCTGGACTTACCCATCTAAAAGAATCAATAGATTATCACCAAAGGATTGCTGTTCTTTTTGAGAGCTCATGCAAGACAGGGGCAGTCTAAAAGAAGTGGGAGCTCTATCTTGGGTTAGTGTGAGGGTTTTTATAAGAACGAGTGAGTAACCAAAATGTAAAAAGAAAAAAAAAATCAAAAACATCAGTTTGTTTATAGGCACCTGGATGGCCACAAAGGTCCAACCAACCTCTATAGCTCTGTGAAAACAGAAAGGGCCAAGCCAATTTATTATTACTTTTGCACCAACCTAATACTTTTTTCCTCTGATCAAAAGTAGGAAGATAGGGCTGGGTGTGGTGGCCCACATGTGTAATACCAGCACTTTGGGAGGCCGAGGCATGTGGGTCACCTGAGGTTAGGAGTTCGAGACCAGCCTGGCCAACATGGCAAAACCCCATCTCTACTAAAAATACAAAAATAAAAAATTAGATTGACATGGTGGCCCATGGCTGTAATCCCAGCTACTTGGGAGGCTGAGGCAAGAGAATCACTTGAACTTAGGAGGCGGAGGTTGCAATGAGCCAAGATTTCGCCACTGCATTCCAGCCTGGGTGACAGAGCAAGAACCTGTCTCAAAAACAAAACAAAAAGTAGGAAGATAGCAGATAAGGAAGGAAGCCATGGAGATAATTTGTGTGAGGATAGCTTTTGAGTATTTGTATATGAAGCTGTTTCTTATGATTGTAGGAATAAGAGGTCAGAAGAATGGCATATTACCAGAAATGGAGCTGTGATGGGGTGGGATGGGGGCTGTGTTGACTTTGAGGTGGCATTTGATAACTGGGCTAGGATTCTAGGAATGAGGAAACCCAAGAAATGGACTGTGTCTCTTAACTCTGTGAACTCTGTTTCCTCATTCACTTTCCTTGCTTATCTCATGAGATAGTTACGATGATCAGAAAAGACAATGCATGTTGCAGAATTTTAAAACCATGAAAGAGGCTACAGAATATAGATACCGTTCCAGAAGGGACTTGAGAATCAGTTCTTATAGCCAGCCTGTTAGCTGGTTCTTTCGATTCTGTTCTTTCGATTCCATCACCAAATCTATCTGGTGCACGTCTTTTCCCCCATTGCTCCGCCTGGGATTCCCATGGGTGCCTCCTGACTGCTCTCCTGGCTTCCAGCCTTGCCACTCTAACCCATTCTCCCTGTGGTCAGAAGAGAGGTCTCTATGAACGGGTGACTCAAATCCTTCATAGGATTTAGCTTTCATTCCTTTAGGGTACAATCCACATGTCTTGCGCTGACCTCTAAGGGGTCCTTCCTGATCTCCCACCTCTGCAGTTCCCCAGCCTTTTGCTCCACACCCCCAGCCTTCAGTCCATTTCAGAGCATTGGCACACCTGGCTACAAGGTTTTTGTTGTTGTTTTTTAAATTGTAAAATAACATAAAACATATCGTCTTAACCATTTTTAAGTGTACAATTTAATAGTGTTAAGTACATTCACGTTGTTTTACAACCAATCTTCAGAACTCTTTTCATCTTGCAAAGCAAACTCTATGCCCCTTAAATAACCTTCCCATTCCTCTCACTCCTAGCCATTGGTAACCACCATTCTACTTTCTGTCTCTGAATTTGACTAGTCTAGGTAACTCCTATGTAAGTCAAATCATGCAGTATTTGTTCTTTTGTGACTGACTTATTTAACTTAGTCTTATGTCCTTGAGGTCCATCTTTGTTGTAGCATGTGTCAGAATTTCCTTTTTTTAAAGGCTGAATCAGATTCCTCTGTATGTGTACAGCACATGTTGTTTATTCATTCATCAATCCATGGACACCTGCGTTGCTTCCACCCTTTTGGCTGTTGTACATAATGCTGCTATGGACATGGATATGCAAATATTTTATTGAAATCCAGCCTTCAATTACCCCGACACCTAGAAGTGGAATTGCTGAATTATGTGGTAATGCTATTTGTGATGTTCTGAAGAATCACTATACTGTTTTCTGTAGTGGCTATACCGTTTTACATTCCCACCAGCAATGTACAAGGTTTCCAATTTCTCCACATCCTCACCAACACTTGTTGTTTTCTGTTTTTCCCCCCTATTTTTGTAGCCAAACTAATGGGTGTGAGGAGATAACCTTGTGGTTTTGATTTGCATTTTCCTAATGATGAGTGGCATTGAGTATCTTTTATACCAGTGGTCCTTTTTGGCCATCTGTATTTCTTCTTTGGAGAAATGTCTCTTCAAGAACTTTGCCCCTTTTTGAATTTGTTTGTTTTTTGTGGTTGAGTTACAGTTCTTTGGCTGCTGGTGTTTAAGTGTATGAGGATTTGGTGTGTCCCCACTAAGCTCCAGGAGGGCAGTGGCTGTGCCCATGTTGCTCACTGCCATCTCCCAGCGCCCAGCGTGGAGCCCTGTGCGTGTTTTGTCAGCCAATGAGGATGCATGTCTGCAGCTGTCAACGGCAGGGGAACACAAGTCTGTGTTTATTTCTACATTCATTCTAGTTTCAAGAAGGATTTCGGACTATGGTCACATCTCTTTGGAACCCTAGTATTTGGGATCAAGAATGGCAGGCAACCCTCTTAAAGGGCTTTAAAATGGATAATCTAAGGTCTTGTCAGGTACTGTTTCACTGATTTTTGGACTGTTTGTTCGGTTGAGTATAAATCCCATTTTGCCCAGTAAGGATCTTGATGATGAAACTGTGTTTAGTTATTTTATAATTTCAAAATATGCGGCCACCTAATTGGTCTCTTTATGAAGAAGGCAGGGAAAATGTAATCCTGGCTTCACACATGGTAGAGTGGAGAGGCTGGGCTGTGAGTCTCCTCTCCTTCATCTCCATGTCTTCTCCTCGGATCTTCAATGCCTGACTCCCCATGCTGGATCCCAGCCCTTCGGTCATCAGCTGCCAAGCCTCATCAGTTCTCTCTCCCTGACAGCCCTCCTTCTCCCTTCCTCTCTCTTCTACTGCCTTGATTCAGGACCTGTGGTTTCTTACCTGGATCACAGGAACCACTTTCTAACTGGTGTTCTTACCTTCAGGCATGTTCACTGCTGCCAAAGTAAATGTTCCAAAATGCAAATGTCATCATTTTCCTGTTTAATTTGAATTCTTCGATGTTTCCATGTTGGCTTCAGGATAAAGTCCACACCCTGTCACATGGCACACAGGCCATGCACAGCAGCCCGTCAGTTGCCACAGTGACCTCCCCTCTGCCCCCAGCACTCCAGCCGCAGTCCCTGTATTCTTTGTGGACACTGCTTTCTCTGGCTAGGATGCCCCCCACCAGCCTCCCTTGCCTGTCCCTGAGTTCCAGTGCTGTTCTGTTCACTCTGACCAGTGAACAGTTACCCACCTCCTCCATCCTAGCCAGAGCGGGGGGCCCTTGCCTACTGTGTCTACCTCTTGGGAGCACTGCCTGCCTGTAGGGTACATCTGTCTGTTAGTCTCCCTGTTGCACTGTATATTTTGCAACCAGGGGTTGTGTCTTTTATCTCTATGTTTCAACAGTTAGCTCAGTGCCTCTCATAGAGTAGGTCTTTGTGGAAAGGAAGAGGGAGAGGAAAAAAGGAAAGTTTGTCTGATTTCAAAGATCATGTTCTCTCTGTTCTCGCCACCTCCCCCCACCCCCTCACCACTGTCCACTGTTACATTCTGCCAGTCCAGGGTGGCTGAGGTTAGGGTGGACTCCCAGAGTGACCCAATCAGCTTGACTTTGTTCCCTGGCCACCCTGAAACAAACTGAGCCTGGCCTACCTTCTGGTAAATGCATCCCAGCAGTGAGATGACTCATGTGTGTGTGACTCAGAGCGAACGGAGCACAGCTGGAGAGCAGCCATTTGCCTGCGGGGGGTGGGGGTTGTAGAGAGCAGCCCAGACCCAGGCACATGGCCACCAGGCTCACAGCCCTGCAGCCTGCTGCCCACTGACTGGAGCAAGGATGTGGATTCTCCTCTGTCCACAGGCTGCAATAGCAGAGTTTCACTAGATTTCTATATCTGGGATGCTGTCTAATTTATTACCATTAAATCATATTTTAATAGGCCACCATTTATTGCAGACTTACTGTAAATTGTTGGCAGTGTTGTCAGCAAATTATCTCATTTGATCCTTACAATAGCCCAACAACAAAAATAATAGCAAGTACATATATAGCATTTACTATGTGCCAGATACTGTTCGGAGTACTTCACATTTATTAATTCATTTAATTCTCACAATAACCCTACTGTGCAGGAAATGTTACCCTCACTTTTCAGATGAGAAAAATGAGGCATGGAAAGATCACACATGGAGATACCCCTGGGTCACACAGGACAGAGCTGCAGTACAAACTCAGGAGTCCAGCTTCTGAGTCCACATTTAGCCCTCATGCTGTGCTTTCTTGGAAAGCATTAACCATAGTCCCATTTTACAGGGGAGGAAATTGAGACTGAAAGAGGTTAATCCTTTATCCACAGCCACACAGAGAGTGATAGAGGTAGTGATGGAGATTGGTGATCTCCAATCCTGGCTCCTAACCACTGTGCTCTGATGCTCAGACTCAGGAGATACTACTATCACGATACAGCCATGCACTTGGTTCTCCTTAGCTGCCTCCATTGGTGCTTCCAAGGGCTAAGACCAGAGGGTGGGTAGGATTCTGGGGCAGAAACCTTCTTCCGAGTCTGGAGTTATAGCAAATGGGTAGCATGTGATGGCACATTTTGCTTCCCATCTCATTTCAGTTTTGGGTCCTGGAGTATTTCCTTCCCTCAGGGATGCTGATGGGACTTTTATTACCTCCACAGACAGTGAGACCGTACACTACCACTATGGCCCTAAGGACCTGGTCACAATCTTGTTCTACATCTTCATCACCATCATCTTGCACGCTGTGGTTCAGGAGTACATTTTAGATGTAAGTGACATGTCTGGATTCTGAAATCAGAAGCTGGGGAGGTGCCTTGGGGTGGAGGACGTGGCCTTGGAGAAACCACAGCTCTGCACCTGTTCATCCTCCAACTTGCTTGCATTGGTTGGGCCTATTGCATGGGCTTCCCTCACACTTTGGTTTCTGGTCCCTCTCATACCCTCCTTTAATCAGCACATGGGACAGCAGTATTTATTACACAGAGAGAAAGCTGTGTGGAGATGCTGTCCTTATGGGTCTGTCGCACATAGAGTAATCGGGGATGTTTCGTTTACATGTAGACTAGAGACACTCATCTTGCCACTTTCTCAAAATGCTTGCCTTAGACCAGGCACTGTATGCACACAGTAGGCTTACACCAGATAACTTGGATTATGGCCAGCTGCAGACTTCTAATGATGTTCAACCCTTTTGTGGGAAGAAAACAGGAGTTTGAAACCTGCCCAATATGGATACATTTGTATGTTAATATGAGGGGTTTTCTTTATTCTTTAGAAAATCAGCAAACGGCTTCATCTCTCCAAGGTCAAACACAGCAAGTTCAATGAATCTGGACAGCTGGTCGTCTTTCATCTCACCTCAGTGATTTGGTGCTTCTACGTGGTGGTGACGGTGAGCCATTCTCAGGACTGCTGCAGGGGGAGAGCTCAGACCAACGGGCGGTTCCAGCTCTGGGATCGTTCATCAAATGACTGCAAAGGACCCCTTACTCCTTTTCTTTTTCTGTTAAGGGGAGCAAGTTTCTTAGAACCTTCTTAGCTTCTTAGAACTGAAACCGTGTTTGCATCCTCATGGTGTTGCAGAGAGAGACCAGATGGTATAGATGCCATTTTATAACTGGAGAGAGTCATCTTGTTCAACAGTCACCACTTGTTATAATTATTATACAACATTACAGTGATGATACCATGGAACTATATAACACTGTATTGTTTTACAAGGCCCTTCTACAACTACTGCCCCATAAGATATATTTTATGTTCATTCTGATGCCCATGTTATAGATTGAAGAGTTCCAAGCTCAAATTTTGCAGTATGCCTGGGGTTCTGTGGTTTTGAAGCAGCAAGGATAGCTTGGAGTTGGAGGTAGAGTTCCAAGCCCAGATTACCCTTTGCGTTACTATGTTGGCCTTCTATAAATGAGGCCAGCCTTACCCTGTCAGCTCATCAAATGCTGTGAGAGTCAATGCCGTTGCAACAAATGCCTGTAGGACCAGACAATTTATCTACCCCTCCTTTCTACATAATAGGACTCTTATTTCAAGCGACTTTTGATACAGCAAGTTCCCTCATAGAAAGGAATGTGGATGGTCCTTTGGAGTTTGCTGTAACAAGACTCTGCCTGTCCTGCTAGGAAGTGTTGAGTTGGTACCCACCTCCACCTGGAGCTCTACCTTCCTGTAACCTGGCCCCCTGAGAAATCCATGCCTGGGTCTTGGAAAATTCATCAACTCTGTGACCTCTGTAAGATTTCCTTTCCGGCCTTCCCCAGATCTCTCACCTTCTTCCTCTTCTTTCAGTGAGAGTGATGGGCCCTGCCATCACGAGGAACTCTGTCTCTGGAGCTGAATGTTGAATTCTTACTCAAAGCTGGAGTCAACATGTCCTTTTGTACATTGTTTTTATTCCTATTATCATTTCATCACAGAACAGCGTTCCTAAGCAGAACACTAGGAATTTTAAATGAGGGGCCCAAGACTTCTGTCCTCTCAGGCAAGGCTACTCTGTTTCACAGTCCCTGGGGCAGATGGACACTGTCTGAATAGTGCATCCCTGCTGTTGGTGCTGTGCACATAAGTCCCTATACTTCTGGGTTTCAGACCACGCCCAGTCCCTTGACATTCAGTTCATGCCCACCTCTAGAGACCTAAGCTGCTTTGAAGCAGAGCAGCCTCAAAATACCAAAGATGTTTAACCGCTGTTCAGGGGAAGCATTGCCTCATCTCTGAATCACTTTTATCCTTTCAACTTCGCCCCCAGACATTCCACCCTAGCTGTGACACGTGGCGACCAGATTTGGAGGCTGGAGCCAAGTTGCTTAACACTTCTTCCAGGGTGTGAAAGGCTCAACCGCTCTATCTTTGCTGTTCTTCAAGGACTTGAACATGATGCCAATTAGTTTGAGAGCACATAGGCTTTTCTTGGGAGGCACATGGCAGTCTTTTATTCTGGGGAGAGCCAGTTCCCCACTCAACATATTCAATAGGCATGGAGACCAGGGGACCATGGAAAGCTCTGGTGACCCCCAACTGGACTCTTCCTAACAACGTTCAACTCCTTGCCCTCCTCCCTCGGAACCCTGCTTCCTGGTAGGAACGTGATTGAAGAAGAAGAGAGGTAGTTCTGTAAAAGTCATAAAAACAGCTTGTTTTTTTAATCATATTTTTCTGTTACGCTGCAAATTTTTTCATGACTCTTCTTTCTGTCACTCTCATTTCATCAGCAGTTCCTGCCAGCTCTGCCTCCCAGACACATTGAGACTGTCTGCTGCTTTTGCTGCTACCCCTAGTCTAGTGACCCTTGACTAGGGAAGATTTGGGCCTGCAGGGGACATCTGGCAATCTGCTGCTAGTATCTAGTGGGCGGAGGCCAGGATGCTATGGTATAGCCTTTAATGGACAGGACAGCCTCCACAGCAAAGAATTATCTGGCTCCCAGTGTTCATAGTGCCATGGTTGAGAAACCTTGATGTGTATAGTCCAAGCCACCATCATCTCTTGCCTGGACACTGAATATCTTTTTTCTAGAAGCAGATTGTTTCTACTCTTGTACCAGGGTGTGAAAGGCTCTCCCACCCCAATCCATTTTCTGATCAGCCAGATGGATCTTTTTTCTTTTTTTGAGATGGAGTTGTGCTCTCACCAGGCTGGAGTACAGTGGTATGATCTCAGCTCACTGCAACCTCTGCCTTCTGGTTTGAAGTGATTTTCCTGCCTCAGCCTCCCAAGTAGCTGGGATTACAGGCACCTGCCAACACACCTGACTAATTTTGTTTTTTTTTTTAGTAGAGATGGGGTTTCACCATGTTGGCCAGGCTGGTCTGGAACTCCTGACCTCGTGATCCACCCACCTCGGCCTCCCAAACTGCTGGGATTACAGGCACCTGACCTGGATCTTTTAAAACAGGAATAAAACCATATATTTCTGTGGTTAAAGCCCCCATCACACTTTCAGTGAAATTATTTTTTCCTCCCCACTCATGTGATCTGGGCCTTGCCAGCCTTGCTGGTCTCATCTCACTGTCTACAACCCCCCTTTTGTCTCCTCTGCCCTAACACTCCTGGCTGTTCTGCCTCCTGGGTTTTGCACTGGTGGTTTCTCTGCTCAAGGGCTCCATCCCCTGCCATCTTATGGCCAACTCCTTCTTGCCATCCAAGTCTCTGCCTGAATACCATCTCCTTAGAGAACCCCCCCACCAATTTGCATTTTCTGCACTGTGCTGGTGCTTTTCTTGTTTGTGTATCCTCTGTTTCTCCCACTGCATTCTGAGTTGCTTGCTAGCAGGCACCATGCTCACTACTGTATCCCTGGTACGGTGCCTAGGACATACTAAGTGTCCACTAAATGTTGGCTGTGAGAATGAGTGAATGAACTGCAAATACATCTTCTCTCTCTAGCCTTCAACATTTTTTTAAGTAATGAATTGATTGTTTTAATAAATACCATAAATTATTATTTTTTAAAAACTGAACAATATAGAGAAGTTCACAAAAGCAAATTCTTCCCACCAGAAATAACAGTATTATTTTGGTGTTTGAAACATTTCTCTGCCTATATAGAAGTAGAACAGTGGGAGTGTGGCTGGACCACCAATAATTTTACTGGAATGTCAGCCTTTAACTTTTAATCTACCTTTGCTTGACTATTCATTGTTCAGGGAAAAAAAGAAAATAACACTCCACTGGAGAAAGCAGAATGGGCTGGTGTTTGGTCTTCCCTGTCTGACTTCTTGTCATAACGGACTTCATATTAGACCAAGTAGAGGGAACGTTCTTAACACTGGTGCTTGTACCAGGACTGGTTTCTACTAACAGACTAGTTGCTTTAGAGCAGATTTTTAGAGCATGGTTTTTCGGATGGTCAAGTAGTATAAGATATGTCTGAATCTGCATAGCACTTGCCTGTGCTGTGTCTGAATTCTGCTCTTTTTGTGGTTCTGTTTGTTCATCTCCCAAAAGGAAGGCTGCTGGGGAAATAAGAGGAATTTCTCCACCTTGTTGAGGCTTTGCTTAGCTCATGAGTGGACTTGTAGAATCAAAAGAGAACAAAGTTTGGAAAGCCTCTCCAGACCATCCACTGAGGCCTATCCATGAATGGGATTTGGGGTGGGTTTCAGGTCTTATTGGGTCACACTCGGCCCCCTGTGGACTCAGGTGCTTTGTGTGGCTAAGCTTGGAGGGTGCCCTAGCCCCAGTCCTCCCTCAGACAGCTGCCTGGACAGAGGTCTGGAAAAGGCTGTTCTCAGAGCAGTGAGTCATTTTTCCTCTGGCTCCCACTGCTCTCCTCCCCCGACCCCTTTCCTCCTCCAGTCCCAGTGGACTGGACATTCACCAGCAGGCAATATTTTTCTGGGGGAGTTTCTTTGCTTGTCGGCTTCAAAGTTCTGACCTCTCTATCTCTAAGTAAGAGGCCAAGCCAAGGGTGTTTCTGTTTAAAATCACGAGATTGTCTGGGCTTTACATTGCTCTCAGTGCTGCATTTATTGGCAAGTCCTTTTTTTTTTTTTTTTTTTTTGGCAAAACTTTCTCTCCCACCTCAGTTTCAGAAGTACCATTTTTCCTGTTAAGTACATTGCTGCTTTCTTTAGGAAGAGACATTCTCACCTCTCTGATGTCACTGGAATGAGGTAGCCTAGGGCAGGAGAGCTGACGAAGGCAGGCGTGTGCGTGACAGAGAGGGTGGGTGGAGATGATAGAGGCAGTGTGTTTGAAAGAGCTCGCAACTGTCACCACCGCCACGCATGGCATCTCCTGAGTGCCTCGATTCTTCCACTTTTATTCCTCAATCTGCGCGTGACCCAGGGAGGAGAAAGGAGGGCAGTGGTAGTGAGAAGTGAGCCCGTGCAAGTTCAAGGTAAGATCATTTCCTTCTAATCCAGGTGACTATGAGTATAGTAGTAGACAAGTGATTGGACCTATCAATTAGGTTATTGTGCTCATGGAGGCCCAAGTTTGTGGGATTAGGGCTATGGACTTTACCTGAAAGACATACTGATAGATCAAAGGGCATTCAGTGACTCAAAGGTGGTTGGATCAGCCCTCACTTGGAAATACAACTAAAGATCCTAATGGACAATAACCTAGAATGCTTCTTACTCAACCCTATTGGCCTCATTCTGAACACTGCACAACCTCTGCCCTTAATCCCAGTGTGAACATTTGAGATTCCCAGCCTTCTCATCAAAACCAGCAGCTCAGTTTATTTTCTGATTTACTGAAGCAACCTAGCCTGAAGTTATTAGACCAGAAGATTCATGGCCCAACTCAGATTTCAGCTGTGCTACTGAAAAACTCTCTCATTTCAGGAGATCCTTCCTATCTGTTTCTTCATTTACCTGTTTCTAAAATGAGGTTATCCTAATGTAACCTGCTCTGCCTTCTCTGTGTGACAAATAAGAGCCCTTCAGAAGAGAGAAATTGTGTAAAGCATTCATCATTTATTCAAGCAGCTGCACTACTGTAGTGTCAGCTGACTCTTGCTTGTGGTAGATTGTTTCTTCCTGTGTTTTGTAATCTTCGATTATAAATTCATCTTTACCAAGGTTTTATCTGTGGGAATCCTGAGATCCTTGGATGAGGGTATGTCCCTAGGGTATTGCTGGTCCACCACACTATTAATACTAATTTCTTAGCTTGGTGGCTTTTGGATCACACAGGTGGTATATTTCAACTCCAAACTCAGAGTGAGCCTGAGGTTGCAGATTTTTAGAATAAATGGTTTTGTTTTCACCTTGAGTATGGGCTGAGCAGACATCTTCATTTCCCTGTGTTGGTCAGCAAACACTTTCTAGTCTTTCCTTTCTCTGAGGTTGTGGCCTTACAGTGGGCCTGATCTTATACAAGGGTCTCAGGTTCCACCTTCTAAAGCACCATCTTCTGTTCTCACATGAGCACAAAAACCCTGGCCCTGTGAGTAGTGCCTTCTGGGCTGCTACAGTGTCACCTTACTGCTCTGCCTTTTAGCCTCCCTCTCCCTTTGGGTCCCAGAGGGTTTCCCTTTCTTATTGTGAGCTCAGTTTGGCATTTAAAAGAATATTCATTAGACTTCATCTAGTGTTTCTAGATGTTTTGTGATGGGATGTTTTCATGTACCTCCTTCACCCCATATAAGGTGCTGGGCTAGATGTTAGAATTCTAAAGATGGGCAAGAAAAGGCCCTAGTGCGAAGGGGCTTGCAAGAGTAATGAAAACAACTGGCAGTAGTGACAGTGTGGTGGATGTCGAGGTCAGCTGCGTGGTGAGACCTGCAGGGTCCTGCCATGCTTTTTATTCAGTGGGATGTGAAAAGCCCAAGTAGACTCTTCATGTTTCCAGTGGGCGGCGATTCTGGCGATTCTGGATTTGCTTATTCATTATAGAGGCATTTCCTGAGCGCCTGCATGCCAGGCACAGGGCTAGACCCTGGCACATAAACTATCCCATTCATTTCCAACAATAATTTTGTGAGGATGGGTATTTCTATTTAATTTTGCAGATGAGCCAGCTGTGGTGTAGGGAGACTCATTAGCTTGTCAGACTCATCTTCAGATGCAGGTCTTTAGACCTCAGAACACAGCCCTTCCTACTCCAGCTTCCACAATAAAGAAGCCAGCCAAGCACCAGGGGTCCCACACAGAGAAGTTCTCTGTTTTCACATTTCCTGTTCCTTCCTCTTTCTGTCAAGTGGGGGCTGGATGCATCCCCTACCCCTGGACCAGGCCCAGGGCCCCAGCAGGTCTCATGTCCATATCTCTAAATGGTATCTCTTCTCACCCACTGCAGGAAGGCTACTTAACAAACCCAAGAAGCCTCTGGGAGGACTACCCGCATGTGCACCTCCCGTGAGTATTCTTGTGACTCAGCCCCAGGGAGGAGCGAGCAGGCCCACTGCCTTCCCGTCCCAGAGTGTGGCCAGAACACCATAGGCCCTGCTGACCTGATGAGCAGATCATGCCCTGAGCCTATTGTGGATGATAGACTTGTTTGGAAGCCGCTGCTTCTCAGCATGCTTGACCGGAGAATCCCAGATGAAAGACCATCTGTGCTGGCTCCCATCACGGAGGTGTCTCAACTGCACAAGACAGATAGAGAAGTGGACCGTCTCCCTCCATAACGCCCCCTGACATCCACAGAGCATCTTTCCTTCTGGCCTGCTATGGCTGGTGCTCCATCAGAGCCAGCATCCTCTGCCTCTTAAGATGCTGCCAAGAGAGCAGTTTACCCCGAGGGCAATACCTGGGCCTGTCTCCCTCAGGAAGCCATCCTTTGCCTTTCCGGAGATCATTTTGTTTGTTTTTGAGACGGAGTTTTGCTCTTGTTGCCCAGGCTGGAGTGCAGTGGTGCAATCTCAGCTCACTGCAACCACCCCTTCCCGGGTTTAAGCTATTCTCCTGCCTCAGCGTCCCAAGTAGCTGGGACTACAGGCATGTGCCACCATGCTCAGCTAAATTTTGTATTTTTAGTAGAGACGGGGTTTCACCATGTTGGCCAGGCTGGTCTCAAACTCCTGACTTCAGGTGGTCTACCCGCCTCGGCCTCCCAAAGTGCTGGGATTACAGGCATGAGCCACGATGCCCAGCTGCCTTTCCTGAGACCTTTAAGAGCAACAATAGCAAAGGATGTAGGGCTGAGTTAGAACTTTCCCTTGCTACTTAGAGCCGTTCGTTGTTCAGTGTATTTGTTGGTCCTCGTCTCCATCAACAGTGCTTTGTAATCTCCCTTTTCAAGGCTGAAGGATTCCTCCTTCTCTATGCTTTTTTAATCATGTTTGTTTCTTTCCGTGGACTTTCCGTGTCCCTTTTAGTGGTCTTGTATGTGGAACAAGGGCATGGGCCAGCAGAGAAGGCAGGGTCCCAGGCTCAGGAGGCAGCGGTCTCCAGCCTCACTCCGTTGCTCCTGGACCAGCTCCTTACAGGCAGAATCTTGGCCCATGCTTTTCCCTACCATGCTTGGCCAGCGCCTGCAGGGATACTTTTCTCTATCCTGCCCGTGTGACTTGCCCCCTTGTCTCCAGCTTCCAGGTGAAGTTTTTCTACCTATGCCAGCTGGCCTACTGGCTGCACGCACTTCCTGAACTATACTTCCAGAAGGTACGGAAGGTGAGTGCTCACTTCTCCCCCTTCTTGGAGACCATTCATTCACCACTCCTCTCCTGCTATTCCCAGTGGTGCCTCCCTTTCCTCCAGAAGTGTGGAGTGTTGGGTGGTGATAGGAATATGTTGGGGGTGAGCAGCATACTGAGTCAGCTCTTGGAGAAGCCCCATGTAGACCCCCATGGGTGTTGGCCACCAGTGTCAGTTTCTTGCCTGCCTCTTCCACCAGACATATGACTTTGGAGGAAACCCAACTCTGATCTTCTGGATGTCAAAGGAGAGGTCTTTGCCATTTCTATAGTTTTTATTTTTGCTTTTTATAATTTCCCTCTGAATTATTTCCAAGAGCCTTCTTCCCCAGTCCCTGTCTCTTCTTTCTCAATCTAAACCTTGCCTTCTGACACTAGACCCAAGGCTGCTGAAATTGGGAATGGACCTGACTACCCTTGGAATTTCAGCAGGCTGAGGCAGTGGGACTGTGGGACTCATGGGACTTGTGGGACTGGTGGGACTGGTGGGACATGGGAGTGTGTGTTAAAGTAGCCGAGAGGAGCCTGTCCCTCTCTCATCCCCCTCCACTCCCCCTGCTCAATTTTTTCAATCTTCAGTTGGGGCATTAGCAAATTTACCATATGCTTCTCTTGTTTCCAGGAGGAAATTCCCCGCCAGCTCCAGTATATTTGCCTGTATCTGGTGCACATAGCTGGAGCATACCTCTTAAAGTGAGTGAGACCATGGAGCCAGCCAGATTGCGTTGCCCTTTTATGTCCATGCATCTATCCACACAGTCATATAATTATCAGGCATTTATCGACACCCTCTCTGTGCCTAGCAACACGCTAAGACTTGGCAATACAAAGATGATCATGAAACATTCTTTATCTTCAGTGGTTCATTCTAGCCTGAAGAGACAGTCATAGACATAGGTAAGGACAGTTCAGTGTAATAAGCCCCATAACATGGTATGTATCATCTGCTCTGCAACCCAGAATAAGACCCTCAACAGAGAAAGCCAGGAAGACTTCCAATGGATGTTGGCCTTAGAACCATGGCTTTGCAGCTTGAAGGCCTCCCAAAGCTATGCTCTTGCCTCATGGCGTCCAGCACAAACACTGCTAAAGCGCGTAGCCCTGGAATTCCCTTCCTTTTGATTTGTAATGAGATGGAGACTAGGTCTCCCTTGGTTGTTCTAGAAGCAGAAAGAGTTGCTATAATGTTCTTGAGAGCCTCTTTTATCAAAAGAATGATACTGATGTTATTAAGCTATGTCATTGACAATTTGGACTTTTTTTGAGCTTTATCCATGCAGTAAAGGAGAACACCCTGCACTTTCTCTAGGCTGGCACTTAGAGTGGCACTCAGACAGCTCACTGTCTGGAACTTTTTGCCGAGGTGCTTGGAATCCCAAGGCACGTTGTCTCCTAGGTCGTTGTAGCAGGCATCCTGTACGAATGACTGACTTGGATTAGTAAGATTCAGGCGGGGAGGGAGCTCTCAAACTCTTCCTCCTGTCTCTGGAGGCCTGTGGCAGCATCCGTTCCTGGATGGGTCTTTGAGGGCTGAAGGCTGTCTGGTGATGCCAGCTTTGCCCTTGTGTTGGATGCTCGTATGTCACATGCATAATGGGTCTAAGAAGTCAGTATGCACTGTCACCATAGCAGTAGCAAGGACCGGGGAGAATGTACAAACAGGACCACACAGAAGGAGCACTTTCTGCTTCTCTATGTACCTTGGAGCTCTGAAGACTTGGACAATGGAAAGTCAGACAAGAACACTTTATATTTTTATACTCAGAGCTCAGCAAACGTGTTCTGCGCACCTTTTATGTACTTGGTTCCAGCCTAGGGGATGAGTGCAAGGTGCTGAGCACTGTGAAGGGCTGTGCTAGGGTTGCTGTGGGAGCAGGCAAGGGCATCTGACCGAGACAGGACAGCTGAATGGCCAGGGGATTGGTATTAGGAAAAACGTCTTAAAGGTGTGACAGCGGAACTGAATCCTAAAGGATGGGGCAGAGCCATCCGGGGAAAGTGGGAGTGAGTGGAAAACAGAGCCCAGCCAGCACGGGACAGCCTGAGCCAAGATGCGACGGCCTCTGCTCCACGCGACCTCTTGGCGGGAATGTAAGGCTAGTCTTTTTCCCCCCAGCCTGAGCCGCCTGGGTCTCATCTTGCTGCTGCTGCAGTACTCAACTGAGTTCCTCTTCCACATGGCTCGACTCTTCTACTTTGCAGATGAAAACAATGAGAAACTGTAAGTGGGGCTGCTGCAGGCTGGTCTGCTCAGAGGCTTGGGCAGGGCTTCCCCCTGAGGCCTGGATGGTTGGAGGGTTCTTCCCTGGGTGCACACTGCCTGCTTACCTGCAGGCGGTGCCCTCATGTTTTTTTTCTGGAATATATCTCATCCCTCAAGCACTTTCCCCAGCCACCCTTGAATCCTCTTTCCACTCAGAGTCTCTTCTGGAGAAGAGGGTGAAGGTTCCTTCAAGGGCTCTAAAGACTGATATCCCTCTTCTGCCTCTGTGAGCAGGTTCAGTGCCTGGGCTGCTGTTTTTGGGGTTACCCGCCTCTTCATCCTCACCCTTGCCGTGCTGGCCATTGGCTTTGGACTGGCTCGCATGGAAAACCAGGCATTTGACCCCGAGAAAGGGAACTTCAACACTTTGTTTTGCAGGTGAGTTGGGCAGAAGTCCAAGGTGATAAGCCAGGGCTTCCTGAGTACCACAAGGGGCCTCCTGAACTTGGCACAGCCTCTGCAGAAGGTCTGGAGGCAGCAGACCCTTTAGTCTCCCACATGCTGTTATTTAGCTGGAAATCTCTGGATATCAGGCCTGAGGGGAGAAGAGATAGCAGCTTCTGTTTCCATCCAAACCATCTCCCCCCCCGGCCCTGGTTTGCTCAGACTGCAGTCCAAATAGGAATCCCTTACACTTGTCTGGCACTTCGTGGCACATAGAGGCATGACACCCAGTCTCTCAGTTGATACCATTCTCCTATTCTTCTGTGTGGGTGCTAAAACCATGTGCTCAGTGGCTTGACCAGTGGCCTTCAGTACCCATGAGAAGGCAGTGAGGAAACCACTGTTTCTCAGAGCCCCTAGGCCCAGGAGATTGATTTGTCCAGGGTTGTCCCACTTTTAAGTGACATGCTAAATGAGAAGCCACTCTTCCAGAAATTCATTTGAATTCTACCAATATTTGTGGAGCTTATATTAGTTTTGTTCTGTGTGATGGGTGCAAAAGAGACACACAGAGCCCTCCCGCAGCATGTGAGTAGTGTGATTGTAGAGCTGGCTGTACGTCCATCACCGCTTCCTTCCCTTCTCCCTGACACATGTGACGTCTGCTGGATCAGAGACTGACGGAAGCACACACTCTTCCTGGTGATAGTGGCAGTATTGGAGAGGGCCGGTGGTGAAGGTGGAGGTGATGAGCCATGGGAACTGCAGGGCCTCCGGCCCTGGTTCTCCCCCGTACTACCTAGCACCAAGGCTGTGAGCCCAAGCCCCAGCCTAAGCCCACCCCTCTGCCCTGCTGCAGGCTCTGCGTGCTGCTGCTGGTGTGTGCCGCCCAGGCCTGGCTCATGTGGCGCTTCATCCACTCCCAGCTGCGGCACTGGCGGGAATACTGGAATGAGCAGAGTACAAAGCGGAGAGTCCCTGCTACACCCAGAGTACCAGCCAGGCTCATCAAGAGGGAATCTGGTGAGTGCCAGGGCCCTTGGCAGAGAGCAGAGCCAGGGAAGTCTGTCTGGGATGGGTAGGAGGAGCCAAGGCGATGGGCTTCTTGGGCGCTCCCCAGACCAGTCCTGCCAGCTTCTCCTTCCTCAGGGCTGGGGCTCCTAGCTCCTGGACTAGCACGTGGCTGGGCATGGGCCAGGGACAGACTGTGGGTGGGGCTAGCCCTAACTAGGCTGGGAGCCCTGGCCACTGTGGGGCAGGGCAGTGGCTGGGTGGGGAACTCTGGCAGGAAGCGTGTCCTCAGGGTGGCTTCTGGACCCCAGCCAAGTGCTGCTGCTGCTGCCGCCCATTCTCAGTGCCGGACAGTGGCTATGTCCTCACCTGCCCTTTTGTTGTACATCTCAGCCTGCCCCTGCCTCCCAACTTGCTGGTTCCTCCTGTCTCCCGGAGTGACTCACAGTGACACAGTGCTAGGTGGGGGGCAGGGGTGGGACACCCACTTCTTTGGCCCTGCACACACTCCAGTCATCACCCACCTTCAGCAGGTCTCCAGGCCCTGCCAGCCCTGCACGTTCTGCCCAGCCTGGGGGCCTGTCTGCACCAGGCTCTGCTTTCTGACTCACCTGCTTTTCTCCAGGCGGCCACCTGCTTGGCAAAGGTTCATGTGTTATGTGTTTGAACCAGACACGCGCGCAGCTGGGTGTGTCACAGAGTCAGGCCTGGCTGGTGGGGGAGGCACGGAGCATAAGACTGCAGCTAGTACCTCTGACTTTGAGCAGGCGCATAGAGGTATTTTGAACAATAGAAAGAGCACAGTTTTTCTGCCAGAGCAGTGTCAGGCATCCTCCCGAGGCCTTGTTCCTGCAACCTCTCGTCTCCCTCCCTTCTGTTGCCACTGCTCTGGGAGTTCTTGCTGAATTGGAAATGGGCTGACACCTTGCAGGAGCCTAAGAGGAACTGAGGACAGTGGGACTGGGACAGCATCTAAGTGATTCCGGCGAGTATCTAGCCCCGGTTTCAGGCTTGGGCTGGCTGGCCTCTTGCTGTTGCCGAGTTACTGTGTGTCATCCCAGGCCCCTCCTGCTAAAAGGGCAGTCATCAGAGACCAAGCCTCTCAAACAAGGCCACTTGTCCAGGGCCCTGGGGAAGACAGGATCGTCCTGGGAGCTGTCTGCTGGCTTCCGTCTGCTGGGTTCGGCTGCAGCCCAGCACCCCTTTGGTATATCCACATGTAGCAGCAGGGCTGCCTGGGCCCCTTCCTTGGCCTGGCCCCACCCTCCCCTCTCCTGCCTTAGTTCCAGCAGAAATACCATGTATGCTTGTCTCTCTCCACTTCCCAGGTTACCATGAAAATGGAGTGGTGAAGGCAGAGAACGGAACCTCCCCACGGACTAAGAAACTCAAGTCTCCCTAAGGCCAAAGTGCTAAGAACAGGAATCCTCTTGGTGGGGGCCCAGCAGGGCGTGAGGAGCCCAGGCCCCCTCCCTCCCTCCTCCTTCCTGCCTGTGATGTTCCGTCTCAAACAGCCAAAACCTGTCTTTCAGTGGGGGGTTTCTCTTTCTTTCTTCTTGGCTTTCTCTTCTTCCAGAAACCATTTTCAATAAAGCCAAAAAGCTTTCTCTTTCTCCCCTCAGGCCACCTCCTGTCCTCACTCCTGTCCTGTGCTGGCTTTTCCAGAAGCCCAGGTTCTCATGGCTGTCATCTTTCTGCTTGCCTGTCTCTTCCCTCATGGATGCTGCTTTTTCTTTTTACTTCCTAATTTCACCTTATCTTGCCATTTTTCTGTCTCATTTTTACAATGGGAGGGGAGCTAAGATTGCAGTCCTGTCTGTCGGTCCCCAAGGACTTGCCGGTCAGAAGCCCGGGGCCGGTAGCAGGCCCTCGGTGGTCCGCATGTGGATGGGCAAGAAGAAGCGAGAGCGGCCCTCTCGGATCATAGTTTCCTTGGTGCTGATTAACTGGCGAGATAGCTGATTCCAGTCCTGCATGTACCATCTTGAGGCACAGCAGCCACTGCTCGTTGTATATGCCAAGGCATTTGGCTTTGGGACGTGACAACTCAATCCAGAAGGATGGTGTGAACTCAGTTGGGTCCCGTGCCTCGAGCGCTTACCAGTGGCTGACTGCGGATTGGAAGCCAGCCTGCTGTCGTTGTGTGGGGGAGGTGCTGAAGGAGGACGAGTCTTCCCACTGCTTAGAGCCAGAGCAGAGCAAACTGCGCAGCAGGCTCTTCCAGAAAGGTAATGGTGGCAGAACCCATGGAGGAGTCGACCTAGGCCTTTTTCCAGCAGTCCCAGCTGCCGTTGCTTTTTCAGCCATTCACAAGCATTCAAAACCAAACCAAACAGCAGTTCACAAACCTGCCTGAGATATGCTGGTCCTCACCTGCAGAGCCAGCCAGCCCTGTTAGGGGCCAAACTTACTACCTTGACTTCATCTCTAGCTGCAGAAACACTAAGCCTCAAGGGCTTCAGCCCCATGCTGGTCCCTTGATGTCCAGGGAGGGTCACCTGGACCACTGTCCATCTGGCCGCCCTTGTTGAGTGTTCTTTGGAATTGTCATTTGTTGAGCACAGCTACAGCATTTTAGACTGCATGAAACCATGACTGACTGAGAATCACTCTCTGGGTAGATAATAGGTGGCTTTCTGGCCCCTTCTCTCACAGATTCTTTCCTCTCCCCTCCACCTACAGACAAGGCCTCCAAGTCCTTATGGTGCCTTGTGAGGACTTTTAGAAGGGGCGTTCAGCTTTAAAAAGTTCCCAATTAAGGCCAGGCGTGGTGGCTCATGCCTGTAATCCCAGCACTTTGGGAGTCTAACGCAGGTGGATCACTGAGGTCAGGAGTTCAACACCAGCCTGGCCAACATGATGAAACCCTGTCTCTACTAAAAATACAAAAAATTAGCCGGGCGTGGTGGTGGACATCTGTAATCCTAGCCACTGAGGAGGCTGAGGCAGGAGAATCACTTGAACCTGAGAGGCGGATGTTGCACCATTGCACTGCAGCCTGAGCAACAAGAGTGAAACTCCTAAAACAAAAGAAAACAAAACAAAAAGGTCCTAATTAAGAACCTCTGAACTCTGTCCTGAGACGAAGTGCAGTCGTTTTTGGTAGGTGCAGGAATAGTAGTGTCATTTGGTATACTGATCCTTTCTGACCTTACAGTAGAAACCAAACCTTGGATTTTATTCAGAAAAGGAGAAATGGGTCTCTTCATCAAAGCAACTCCTCTTCTCCAAGTCATTTACATCACAGATAAATTTTCACTTCCCAGTAACTGAAGGATTTGTTTCCTACCATCATTGGAGACCTTCATCTCTCTCCACGATAAGGTTGCAGAAATGGGAAGAACTACCTATGGTTGCTTTTGATTACCTTTAGGAAGTGAGACAGTGTGTTTGAAAATACACATTTCTCATTTCTCCATCTCCTTTCCTGACATTTCTCTGGGCTGCTCAGCAGAACCATGGGTAGAAGGGCAGTTTGGTATCAACACAGCAGACCTGATCTGGGATCCCTTAACCATTTCAGTCAAACAGCCCTGACCTAGGCTGTAACTGAGTTCAGCCTCCCCACCTTGCCTGGGAACTGCAAATGGAGTGTTCAGCCAGCAGCCTCCTAAACCCACCTTCTTCCCCCATTAGCCTAGAACACCCATCCTGCATGCTCTCCAGGCGGTGTCATTGGAAGGGCTTTTCACATGCAGGAAGCCTCTTTCAAATGAGCCCAGGTTAAACTTTTGAGTTGTGCCTTCAACAAATATGTGTGGCATGCTTGGTTGTGCCAGATGCTGGTGAGGTAGTGGTGAGCAGAGCAGCTGAAGTCTTGCCATCATGTAACCTTCATTCTCGTGCATGTAGGTTTCCGTTGCTCTGTCCCAGACACTTGCATGCCAGAGACGCCACAACTTCATGTCCCCTGTCTCTTGGAAGCTCCCCGTGCTCCCAGTGTATCATGCCTTGGATGTGGTACCACCAGCCCAGTGGCCAGGGTCAACTTAGGCTCTCTTCCTCAGTGTATTTAGGGTTTATTTTATGTAAAACAAAAAAACTGAGACCATGAGTGGGGCTGGCATCTTGCCAGCCTGGGCTTCAGGGATGTTTGCTGGGGGGCTGATTAGAAGGTAGTTGTAGGTTGCTTTGTCACCCCCTCCCCACCAGCCTCCCTGCCGTGTTTATTTCATAGCAGAGCCAAGTCTGGCAGATTGACACAAACTGTGTTGTCAGAGCTGAAATAATTCCACTTCATCCTATGAGCTTGTTGGGCTAGCTTGTTCTAATTTTGGCCACTTTGGCTTTTTCTTCAGTTTTATGCATTCTCTCCTGACCCAAAGTGCCAAGCCATCTGTGAAGGCTCTGCCAGACACCTCCAAGCTTGAGAGCGCAGCACCATGCACTAAGAGCAGGAGAAAAGACGTAACCTACCTCAGCAATTGTGGCCTCTCAACAGCCCTGGATAGCTTACATTTGTGGGGAAGCCAACAGACGCAGTGGGAGGACAGGGAGGTGGCGCTGGTGGACCAAGGATCCGTGCTGCTGCTTCCCCCTCCTTGGAGGTGCAATGATGGGAGTTATTTTTACCATCTGGGCTTTGATAGCTGCACTATTAATAAATTGCATGTGCTCCTTTTGAAGGCAGGGGATGGTTCTGGGCGAAAGGGGAGCAGGCTGAGCCAGGAGTGGAGCTACTGTCCTCCCTTTCAATTCAATTCTAATCCTGTGTGTGTCTGGACCCGGACCAAAATGGTTGCCGAGACACTTGTCTGTCCATGCCCCAAGGCATAATTTCCCAACATTTAAGAAACTCCAGTAGACACCTCTGCCCTGGCCACCTTCACAGATGCTTCTCTTGACCGGAAACCCTGGGACCCTAAGAATTCCTGAAGCTTGGTGTGGGTATGTGTTTCTGGGGTCTCTTTTAGGACCTCCTTCCCTACCCCTTGACCTTTTTTCCTAAGCAGCTAATAAGAGGTTGGGTGAAAGAATCCCAAGATTCCACAACGAAAATCTTCCGTGGATGCTTTAATCAGAAGTGGGTTGCCGACCCCCTTGTTCCTAGAGAAGGCCTCAGCTTGGATTTCCTTTGTGTGCTTCAGCCTTCCTAGCTGGTATTTCCTAGGCCTGAAATGAGAGCTGGAAGGTCTGCACATAACTAATTTTCTCGCCTAAGGGCCTCTGGCACCAGTGCACAGACTTCAATTCTTGATGTTCTAAAGCCTCTGTCCTCTAACAAGGAGCAATGAAAGCTTGTGAATCACGACAGTGGGGTGGTCTTCCTCCCTCTGCCTTCCGAGCTAATGGCTCTTTTCCTCAGGAATAGACTCTAGGGATTATTGGAGGATTAGTTGTTGTCAGATGACTGGAAAACCTAGATAAGATCCCACTCCAGCCCAAGGTCGTCCCAGTGAGGAAGACTTTACCACCTTCTCACTGCCCCACTTCTCCCATGAGTATTAGCTCCACCTCGCAAAGGCTGAAGACCAGTTAGAGCTGCCTCACTCATACTGAGTTCCCTGGATGAGCAGAGCCATGAAGAGGGCTGGGATTTGTACCCTCCTGGGAGCCTTCCATGCTCGGCAACCCTGAAGAGTTTTGGTCCCAAGCAGATTGTGTGTGTGTGTGTGTGTGTGTGTGTGTGTGTGTGTGTGTGTGAATAAGTGCCTTACTTTGCTGTGTGGTTTTCACTTGTACTCTGTGGCCAGCCCCTAGCTGCCAGGGCTCTAGGGCTGTTTGTCACAAGCAGCCAAGGACACCATACCTCAGTAGACTTAAATATAAAAGGGACACAGATTGTGACAGTTTCGCCTCATGTTTCAAAGTTGCTGCCCAGCATTAGGGTCTGTGGTGTGTTCTCTGTTTTGTTTTGGTTTCTTCCTTGTCAGTTCTCTTCTGGCCCAGCTGGGTGGCTGTGGAAGTCAGTGAGGTGGCCCAACCACAAGCATACCTATTAAGGGAAGCCCAGAGCTTCCAGCTCCCACCTTGAAAACTCCCCTCTGGCCCCACATAGCAAGCCCTGCCACTCCGCTTCTCCATTATTTTCCCCACCCCTAGATTTTTTTTAAAGGCACACTTACCATAACCTCTTAGTCTGTTTCGCTTCCCATTCAATCCAAAGTTTATATGATAAAGGTGTTTACTTTTACTTCCCAGTCTCAAGTGCTAACACATACATGTCTATTGCAGAACTGTTCGAGCTCTTAATTCAGTGTTACCTTGTGTTAGTCGCAGCAATCCTATTGCCTGCCCACCTTTTTCTCGCTCTTCCGGGTTGTGCAATAACTCTCCCAGCCAGTGGTCCTTTCCACAGCCTTTCTGTCCCTTAAAACGCCCTGCAACTGGGGGAGAAATGGGACCCGTGGGAGGGGTAGTCAACATCCCTTACAGAAGAAATAGTAGTTGCTTTCCTTTTGTTGCTGTCATTCTCGTGATCCTAGGTGGGTTTCTGTGGCACTCTCGTGGAACATGTAGCATCATCTTAGAAGTCTATTATTTTAAAAATCTGTTGAAGAGGAAAAAACCATCCTCATGATGGGGCTCAAGTCATTGTCCAGGAATAAGATCTGTTGTGGTGCCCATGACATCACCGTCACTCTGCCTAAAAGCATTCCAGAGCTTCTTGTTCATGGGGAAAGAAAGGATATTTTGCCAAGCAACAGCCACAGGTGAGTAGCCCTGTTCACCTGATAGGCTCTGGCTGTGACAGTAAATACAATACCATGGTTTCCTTGGGTGCAGATTTGAGTGGTCATGTGATGAGACTGTAAACCTCACTTTTCAGTTCCTCTGTTTTAAAAAAACATCTGAAGGATGAACTAAGGCTGCTGGTGCCCTGAGCAACTGATAATGCAAATGTGGACAAACTGTCTCTCTGTTTTCTACTCTAGCCTGTTCATATGGACCAAATTTCAGCAAGGAACTCAAGGAAAATTTGTACCTGGCGTATTTATGCTTTCATGGAAAAGGGTTGGGGGGAGGGGTGTCTTTTTACTTTTGGTGAACTTTTTTTCAAAATCATTTTTCCACGGTTTCTGTCTGGTTTTAAAACAAATTACAGTTTTGTATGGATTTTTAAAATGTACATTTTGAAACAAGTGATCAAATATTTTCTGAAATAACAATAAAAGGCAGAGAATTATTGGAATAATTGTCTCATAATTTCCTTGACATGCTTTTACGTGAATGTTTACATTTGCTTAAATGAGTTTGTATGAGTTTTAGCCCTCACGTCTAATATTTTTCACTATATTAGTCATTTCTTATATAGCTTGACCCATATTTGTCCATTGTAGTGATATGAATTAGGGAATTCGAATTAAGAATGGAGAGAAAGTGTTATATCAAGTGCTGGATAGTAATAAGTGTCATTTTTATTTGAATCCATAATGGTAAAACCTGGAAAAGGTGTTTCCTTAACATGGGGTTTGTGGGTAGGACGCTCCAGAAGCAAGCATATTGTCCTTGACGCCTACTATACTATGATGTTATTTAGCTTGGAGGAAATGGGGTTTCATTTGTGTGAAAGCCAACGGGTATGTTGGTGCTGACCAGAAGATATCTACATTATTAGCAATAATGGCGGGCAGTGGGGATCACTAGTGTCACTTACATGGCTGCTGTGTTTACCAGAACCATCTCTGGAGAGATTTCAAAAGATTAGTGCAATTACAGGTGGCAGTTAGCTGAGGACACCCATGGGATGTGAGAATTAAAGAAGAAACGTTTGCTTGAGGTGAAGGTGAGTGGTTCTGCTGCATGGCAAGCTTCCTTGCAGACTTGGGTCCTGCTCTGTAAGAAGCTAGGTGAACTCAAGCAGTTAACATTTCTGAGGCTTTTTGCTCATCTGTATCAAAAGGGTTTCATGTTTTGTGGAGAGCAGTGGTGAGAGACTTAGAGAGACTGCTAAGTTCATTGTATATATAAAACACTCAAATTGGCTTTTTAAAATGAACTTATGGGCCAGCAGCATATTGAGAAGTCATTTACCCAAGTCACCCTTGATTCTCTGGAGACAATTCATCCCAAATACCCTTAAAGCCTATAGATATGGATTTGATACACCTTAATTCGATGGTATCTTCAAGGCCCCCTGGTGGTGCAGACAAGGTACAGACCCAGGTTTCTGAGTGGTGGCTAACTCACAGCCCATGCTTACCCACAAAGCAGTTTTCTTATAAGCAATCTTAGACAAAGCCTTCGGTTAGACTTGATAGCTTCAGCTACCAGTGCTAATCTTAATTCTGGTGTGTGTGTGTGTATTAGAGTCTTTCAACTCCCTGGTGGCCAATCTGAAGCAATGATCTTTCTGCTTCCTACAGTATTGCTTGCTACAAGCTAATGCTCAGCTCTCTTCCATCACCTGAACCTGACACTCCAAGATGCCTGCCAGCTGTGACTGTGGCACAACGTAATTAGTGACATCTAATGGCTGCACTGCCATTCAGGATTTTAGAAGGAAAAGTGATTTGCTCTGACATTTGTGGTTCCTACACTTGCCGCTTTGTGTAAACTAACCAGGTAAGCAGTGAGTGTGGGGACACCACAGAAATGACCTGCTGGCTTTGGTCTTTCACGAAATCGCTTTTATACCTTGTGATGGTGCTGTTAGATCTGAGCTTCTCAATCTTACGTAAATGAAAGGAGATGCCACGCAAGAAGTGGACAGCAAACTTAAGGAGTGTATGTGGATAGTGCCAACTTTATTGAAGAAAGTTCCCTCTGAGACACTTTTTTTTTTTTTTTGAGGAGTTTCACTCTGTTGCCCAGGCCAGGGTGCAAATTTAGCTCACTGCAACCTCCACCTCCCGGATTGAAGTGATTCTTCTGCCTCAGCCTCCTGAATAGCTAGGATTACAGGCACGTGCCACCATGCCCAGCTAATTTTTGTATCTTTTAGTAGAGATGGGGTTTCACTGTGGCTGGTCTCAAACTCCTGACCTCGTAATCTGCCTGCCTCAGTCTTCCAAAGTGTTGGAATTACAGGTGTGAGCCACTGTGCCCAGCCCTTCTGAGACACTTCTAACAGATACTGTGGGGCTGACATTTTCATATTGGGCCTCATTATATTCAATAGAATGATAATCTGTTTATTTTACTTAGTGGAAAAGACATTAAAAGAAGAGATGAGTGGTTAGAACTGAGGGTAAATGAGCACTGGGATTTCAATGGCTGGGCAGAGTGGCTCATGCCTGTAATCACAGCACTTTCAGAGGCCAAGAATGGAGGATCACTTGAGGGCTAGAGATCAGGACCAGCCTGGGCAACACAGCAGGACTGCTTCTCTACAAAAAAAAATCTTTTAAAATTATTAAGGGCCTAGAGGCCTGGCTACTCAGAAGGCTGAGGCAGGAGGATTGCTTGAGCCCAGGAGTTTGAGGCTCCAGTGAGCTACGGTCACACCACTGCATTCCAGTCTGGCAAGAGAGTAAGACCCTGTCTCTAAAAAACACAAAAACAAAACAACCGAAAGCAGGCTAGAGGATCCTAAATGAGACTTTCCTAAATCTCTATTTTGGCTGAGACCCAAAGCTGAGGACAGAAATTGGCAAGTATTTCCATATGTTGCAGATTTAATGCAGATCCATGAATGATTTGCTGAGGAGGAGCCCGAAGCTCCTCTACCACAGGAGGCAAGAGTGATGGGGAAAATATCAGAAAGTGCAGGCTTCTTGAAAGGGGCTGTCAGAATGCCTTAGGTCTGCAAGCTAATTGAGGGAGTACTTTAAAAGACTCAGGGTTTGACATGTGTCTGTCCCCTGGAGTTTGGAGAGCACAAGATTTGGGGTGCCTGTTTCTCCCCTGAAACAGTCTAAAGGAAAGGTATTAAGCTACCTAACTACACAGCCAAGAGAGCCATCTGGGTGAGAACACGGCGAGAGCGCACACCCTGGAAGATGTGTCAGCCTGAAAGGGCCCCACGGGAAGAACAAAAGGAGCCTTGGAGAACATACCATTAGAGCTGGGGTGGTCAGCTACGGACTAGGTGGACTGCATGTGAGAGTAGTGCACTGGGCAGTTTCCAGTTGGAAAGAGTTCTAAGAACTCCCCAAAACAGGGTGCTCTAAGCAAAGGACATGGAATCAAACTATGTGCCCATCAGTGGTGGATTAGATGTTGTACATGTGGTATATATATACCATGGAATACTATGCAGCCATAAAAACAATGAAATCATGTATTTTGCAGCAACATGGATGCAGCTGGAGGCCATTATCCTAACGTGAATTGATGCAGGAACAGAAAACCAAATATTGCATGTGCTTACTTATAAGTGGGAGCTAAACACTGAATCCACATAGACGTAACAATGGGAACAACAGACGCTGGGGACTACCAGAGAGGGTTGGGAAGGAGGAGTGCGTGCGGAAAAACTACCTACTGGTCACTCTGCTCACTACCTAGGTGCAATATACCCACATAACAAACCTACACATGTACCCCCAGAATTCCAAAAGAGAAAAAAGGTACTCTGGGAGAAAGAGTCAGCCTTTGGGCACGTGTCACTCAGAGATCTGGCCCCACATTATGACATTACTAGCCACAGAAATAAGACTTTGCCCTTTTTCTCTGGTTTCTACCCCTTAACTTTTCCCAGAGCCTGCAAGGGCTAAAAACAACAGCATGGCTGAATAGGAACAAAGGGAACAGAAGACAGAAAGAAGGGAGGAAGAAGAAACCCACTATCACCACCCCCATATGCACATACACCCCTGTATACATATACTTCTAAGCCTGGGGAAGGACTGAACTGGGCCAGGCAGGATAGAGCTCAGTGATTTTTAGACTAAAAAAACTTCTAAAATACAGATAGTCCCCAACTTTCAACAGTTCAACTTATTTTCCTCCTTACAACAGGCTTATCAGGGGTATTGAGTGCATTTTCAAGTTGTGATTTTTTTTACTTATGCGAGTTTATTGAGACATAACCCCACTGTGAGTAGAGGAGCATCTGTACTTGAAAGTGAGATACTGATTCAAATAGTTACGAGTGCCTGAGGGTGAAACAAAACAAAGCATGGGTTATTCCCAAGATGATAGCCTGGAACAGAAAAGGAGTCAACATAATACATTCACAGCCCTTTCAATAAGCTGGTCGCAAGTGGCTTAGCTCATTAGTGAAGGAAACACCAAGGGAAGTTGCCTAGAAGTTCTCAGTGGGGAAAGCATTCTGAATTCTATATAACTCTTCCCTCATTCATACCACATTTTGGGTGGCTTGGGAAAATGTGAGATGGCACGTTTAAGGATGAACTTAGTGGCTGACTTCAACCAAAGAGCAGCCCTAATTCTAAAAAGCCAGTCAGAGCTCACTAGAGAACAGTAACTGCTGCTAGTCTTTCCCCCCTATCTCAAAGCCAGACTCTCTGAAAGCAGTATTTTTCTAATCTTTTTTTTTTTTTTGAGATGGAGTTTCACTCTTGTTGCCCAGGCTAGAGTACAATGGCGTGATCTCGGCTCACCGCAACCTCCGCCTCCTGGGTTCAGGCAATTCTCCTGCCTCAGCCTCCTGAGTAGCTGGGATTACAGGCACGTGCCACCATGCCCAGCTAATTTTTTGTATTTTTAGTAGAGACGGGGTTTCACCATGTTGACCAGGATGGTCTCGATCTCTTGACCTCGTAATCCACCTGCCTCAGCCTCCCAAAGTGCTGGGATTACAGGCGTGAGCCACCGCGCCCAGCCCCTAATCTTTTTCTTTTTTTCTTTTTTTGGAGTCTCGCTCTGTCACCCAGGCTGGATGGAGTGCAGTGGTGTGATCTTGGCTCACTGCAACCTCTGCCTCTAGGTTTAAGTAATTCTCCCATCTCAGCCTCCTGAGTGGCTGGGATTACAGGCACACACCACCATAACTGGCTAATTTTTGTATTTTTAGTAGAGATGGGGTTTCACCATGTTGGCCAGGCTGGTCTCAACCTCCTGACCTTCACTGATACACCTGGCTCTGCTCCCAAAGTGCTGGGATTACAGGTGTGAGCAACTGTGCCTGGCCAAATCTTTTTATTTTTTACTACAAGCCTCACCAAGAAATACATTTTACATCATGATCCAGTAAATACACTCTCATTTGAAACAGAAGTTTCATGAAAAAATAGGCCAGGCATGGTGGTTTACACCTGTAATCCCAGCACTTTGGCAGACTGAGGTGGGTGGATCACTTGAGATCAGGAGTTTGAGACAAGCCTGACCAACATGGTGAAACCCCGTCTCTACTAAAAATACAAAAAAATAGCTGGGCATGGTGGTGTGTGCCTGTAGTTCCAGCTACTTGGGAGTCTGAGGCAGGAGAATCACTTGAACCCGGGAGGCAGAGGTTGCAGCGAGCTGAGATCACACCATTGCATTCCAGCCTGGGTGACAGAGCGAGACTTGGTCTCAAAAAGAAAAAAAGGAAAAAATACATAACCTGCTAGGTAGACCAGAAAATTTCTATTATATTCTATTTTTTTAAAAAAAAAATGCAAGTCTAATGGGCCTAGAACCACAGTTTGAAAAACAGGTGGTATATTTCCCTACAGTATCAGGGTGGGCAGATGGGTGGTGGTGGGGCCACCGACTAGCAGCAACAGTGATATTATATACTGATTCCAACATCCCAGATGATGCTTCTAGAGATTCTAACATTCCTTCTGCTCTTGATCATTCTACATCTGAATTAGTCTGGGTTATCCAGGGAAACAGAACCAATAGGATGTATGTATACATATATATGTATATACATACTATACACATACATATATACATACTATATATACACACACACATATACATATAAATGTGCATGTGTGTGTGTGTGTATATAGATAGATAGAGAGGGGTAGAATTATTATAAGAAATTGTTCAAACAAATATGAAGGCTTACAAGTCCCAAGATGTGCAGGGTAAATTGGCAAGCTGGAGACCCAAAGAGCTAAAGGTATAATTCTAGACTGAATCCAAAGACTTAAGACCCAGGAGACCTGATGGTTTAGGTCCAGTCTGAAGGCCAGCAGGCTCTAGACCAACAGTTGATGTTTCCATTTGTGTCTGAAGGCAGGAAGAGGCTGATGTCCCAATTTGAAGCCAGTCAGGCAGGAGGAATTCTCTTACCTGGGGGAAGGTCAGCCTTTTTATTCTTACTCATGTCTTCAAATGATTGGAGGAGGCCCACCCACATTAGAGAGGACAATCTGTTTTACTTAGTCTTCTGATTCAAATGTTTACCTCATCCAAAAATACCTTCACAGAAACCCCCAGAATAATGAAAAATCTGAGGCTGGGCACAGTGGCTCATGCTTATAATCCCAGCACTTATTGAGGCTGAGGTGGGAGAATTCCTGAAGGTCATGAGTTTGAGACTAGCTTAGGCAACATAGTCAGACCTTGTCCCTACAGAACAATTTTAAAAATCAGCTGGCCATGGTGGCTTAAGCCTGTTGCACAGCTACTGGGGAGGCTGAAGTGGGAGGATCACTTGAGCCCAGGAGTCTGAAACGTCATAGAGCTAAGATAGTGATACCACAATCCAGCCTGGATGACAGAGTGAGATCCCATCTCTAAAAAAGATTAAAAATATTTTTTTAAAAAAAAAACATTTGGGCCTCCTGTGGCCAAGTTGACACACAAAATTAGACATCGCTATACCCTTATCACCCTAAATAAGGCACCAATCTTAGATCCTATTAGATGTAATTTAATTTCGACTTCAGTAGTAGCGCAATAAGAACCAAACAAGAAATAAAATTTCAGGAACTCTGTAAATGCCTCTGTGAAGAGTACAAGGTATATTTCAAAGCACAGTACCAACATCAAAAAATTGTCTTGCATTTTCTCATCAGCAGGTCAGTTTGAGAAAGCACGAACAAAGTTATAGTAGTTAATCTTGCCTTCTCCATGAGAGCACATCCTGATTAACTGCAGAGAGAGCAAAGAGTATAGGTGAGACAGCTCTGCAGGGCTTCCTCAGCTCAACTGCAGAGTGCACTTATACATAATGATCCCCAGCCTTTGTAAATTGGTTCAGAATGTTTATATCCACGGTTGATCCTGAAATGATCCTGTGAACCTGGCAGGTAGGACAGACATTATCCCCATCTTACACTTGATGAAACCAAGGCTGGATAGAGTAAATGACCTTCCCAAGATTTCAGGACTAACATCCATATTTATAAAAGCACTTTTAGTTGTTTTTATATTCAAATAAAAGACTTCGTCCACTTAGCTCATGAGGAGTAAGACATTTTAAACAGCAGGCTCTTGTTACCACAGCCTAATGGAAGAATCTGCCCACTCTGTGTCCCTTGAAACTCAACTGTGACTGGTAACACACTTATTTTCTGTGGTTCTTTTTATAAGACGTGTGCAAATCTGTCTCACCCCCACTTCCCTGCTCCACTTGCCAATGACTGCCAGCCGTCTCTCCCGTGTCAGTTCCCACATCAGACAGTAGGAATAAATTGAAAATCAAAAGTTGGGCATGCTGTCAACCTAAAATTTGGGGAGCTAAATGTGTGTTTGGGCCACATGAACAAATATCCTTCTATCTGCCCTCCTCTACTCACTTCCTTCTCATGTTTCTTTTTTTTTTTTTGAACATAAACTCAAGGTTTTATTGTCTTCATAAAAGATGACACTTAGAACTGGATCACTTGGCCCTTTCTCTTCTTATCTCCTCCCAGTTCAAAATGTTTGCATCTTTTAATAGCCAGCATTCTCTTAGATCTGCAGTTGGGCTCAACGCACTCGAGCCTCAGCACAATCTTCTTTGTAGTCTTAGCCTTTTTCCGGAAAATCGGCTTAGTTTGCCCACCATAGCCACTCTGCTTTCTGTCATAACGCCGCTTTCCCTGGGCATACAGAGAATCTTTGCCCTTCTTGTACTGTGTCACTTTGTGGGGTTGGTGCTTGCCACACTTCTTACAGGAAGTCCGGTGGGTTTTAGGAACGTTGACCATTTTTGCGTGAGCGCTACCGGCACGGAAAGCCTTCTCATGTTTCTATCTATGAAAAATCCTCATCTCCAACCTAGTCACTAGCCCTAAATCAAACCCTTTCCTAAATGACTCTTAAATTCTGAACACTTCTTCGGCTAAAAGATCTTTAAAAAGTCTATAGAACCTCAATATTCTTAGTAAGAATGTCTCAATGATGATAAGCCACAGTCCTCGGCATTTCTCAGGGAGACTCTGTTCTGACTTCGTTCTGCGCGAGAGAACCCTGGCTCAAGGGTTTACAATGAAGAAAAGGCATAAAAGCTCCCCTTCAACTCACTTATGAAAATTCAAGGAAGAAAACTTCCATGCCCTTTCTCCATCTGCTGCTAGCCATGCTGCCACTATTGACAGATGCCACAGCCCTCCTGCAGTGGTCATGCCCTCTTCCATGCTAACCCTACTGATGGGCCAGTGTATCAGGTATTAGCTAGACGAAAGGTATCAAAGGCTTCCAAGAGTCTGCTCAATCAACTTATCTTTGAGTCTTCCCTTGGAAGCTGCCCCTCTTGGATCATCTCTGTTGCCCTCCTTCAGTCCTGACATGTTGGTCTACTAACCAGTCTGTGTTGTCCAGCCCCAGGCCCACTTAAAGAGATACCCTAACAGCAAACAGAAAAGAACGCCAATGCTAGAATCAATGGGCAATACCTAATCAGGACAGAATAGGGGATCTGATTTGAACATCCTCTATCTGTCCCAGTTATAGTGAAATACACATACAATTGCCTTCAGGAAAGAATGATCAGCGCTTAGCCTCTGCAATCAACTCAAAAGAGTAATCCATACTGACCTCCTTAACCAAGGAGTCATCTATTGGGATGTTAAGTGATTCACAGATTTTAAAGAACATTTCTCTGTCCACATATCCTGAAGCTTCCTTGTCACAAATTTGAAATGCTTCGCGAATGTTGTCTTTGCATGAGTGATCTTTCAGTTGCTTCTGGATTGTGTCTATTAATGCTTCCAGTTCCTGCACGCCTGGATCCTTTTCAGTTTGCTTGCTGTAGAGAAAGGAAGGAAATGACCGCACACAGTACTTGTTCTTAACCAATCTCATCTTAGTGACCAAAGTTCTTCCTTAATGAAATCAGGGAAGCTTCTAATCACAGCATTGAGATTGAGCTGACCAATATCTGAACACTTGCCCACAGGCTGATAGCTGACCTCCACATCAGGAAGGCCTGACTGGGGGCAGGTTTTGAATTTCCTCCCTTCTTGCTCAGCCTCCTTTCCTGCCATCTGCTAATCACTGCACTGCAAGGAGGCAAATCTAATACCAGCACCATGCCAAATTTGGTTTCTGTGGGAATCACATCATTGTGTCTTACTGCTGCTGCAGATGAATGTTTCCTCATCTAAAACTAAAATTATATGATAGATAGATATAGATATAGATCTGCAGCCAAGAATTGACTTTTTATAGTTTTAATATTATTCCCTCTCCAATTCACACTGAATTCTGTAAAAGTTTATTTATGGAAGCTAAGAGATTGCTCTGTGAGGTAGAGTGAGAAGTTTGGGCTTAGCATTTACTGAAATTAAGAGAGATTAGTAACACAGAACATTGGGAAGACAGAGGTCTTAGCCTTTAAAACACAACCACAATAAGTAGAGGCTCAATTTTATTTCCTCTGAACATGAAGGTATAGTTATAAAATTAAAAATTTTAAAGTTTAAAGATTCCCTCATGTTTCATCTTCATAAATCCTTTTAGAACAAAATGGGCCAAATAAACTCAGTAAGCATTTTTCCCTCTTTCAGAGATGAGAAAACACACTTGAACACCCTAGTGACTGATCTGAAATTCCAGGTCAGCAGCAAGACTAGTACTCACACCTCACTTCAGTTCCAACATTCTCTCAATTATGCCCAGTCACTTCTAACTGAATTCCTCTCCTTCCTTGACTTGAGAACTATCAATCTACCATTGCTTTTCTGCATTTATTTTTCTTGTGTATAATATGTTTTAAGTTCACTGTTGCAAATAGCCTCTTTTTAACTTATTTTCCCCTTTTACCTGCTGGCAAGTCTTGCTGGGGAAACTATAAATTGGAATAACCTATCAGGAAAAATTTGGAAAGATGAAGCAGAAGTCCAGCAAATAATTTAAAATAATTTATCCTAAGCAAATAACCATGGGTTGTATGCAAAGATACATCTAGAAGATTGTTTTGAGATAGCCTCAATGTCCAAAAATAGGGAATTTTCGTTAAATAACTTACACTACGATAAAGCAATGGAATAATAATGCAGCCACTGACAATGCTGTAGAAAGAGTATAAAGAGATTTTTAGTGAGAAAATCAAGACATAAAAGCAAGTACAGAGTATTACCTTTTGTTGTAAAAGTTGTGGGTGAATATGAGTATATACTCAAAGTTGCTTATATTACTTAAAGAAACTCTGAAAAGATATTCAAAAAAATCAATGAAAGAGGTAGTTACCCATGGGGAGAGGAGGGTAAGAAGCAGGTAGATGAAAGATGGGGTAGGAGCAAAACTTTTCCTTGGTCCCTTCATATATGTGCCTTAAAATATTTCTTTTCACAGGGGTTCATAATAGACTATCAAGTGAAAGAAGCCAGCAAAATAGTATTACAGAACTTCCTACTTTATATTCATCTTAAAAACAAAATATTAGAAGTAGTTATCTCTGAGTTACAAGATTTTCAAAAATTTTTGCTTATTTCTATTTGTATTACCTAGATTTTTATTCCCTAAAATTTCAAACTCTGGACATGTGTTATTTTTGTAGTAAGCCAAGAACAATAAAAGTTGCTGTAATCATCCCCAATATCTAAATGCTCTCTGGCATTATTCATTATAGAAGCAGAATATATTTATCTGATGAATGTAATTTGAATCCTATTTACTAAATTATGAATGACCACCAGGGAGCTATTTTAGTGGCAGGAAGCAGTCAAACCTCAATCTTCCATGTGTTTCTAAGAACTAGAGCCATGGAGCATATAAAGTTAAAATGTGATCATCCAATCATCTGGGGAAAGAGACAATAACTCTCTTTTTCCCCCAAGAAGACAGATTCCTATTCCCCTTTATACAGCAGGAAAAATACCCATGGCATCTGCTGCCTTTGAGCAAGATGGAGTAAATTCACTGATAGATGGCAACAGGTGGTACTGTTTAAGGTCGAGCTAGTTAAAGTTACAGCCTCTACTTTATTGCCAGAGCTCAAGTCAGGGCACATTCTGTAAAAGAGCTGCAAGTCTCAAGGCAAGGTTTGCTCACATGGGTAAACAAGAAAACATGGAGGCCAACTGGTTATGCTAAATAGGGACTGCCAACTGAGAGGTGGCTGGAGGTCTCAACATGCTTGGTGAAAACTCTGCCAAGCCCTCCAATGCCTTTCCTTAACTTTCCATAAAAGTGAATGTGTTTTATAGAGTGGCTAATCTTCCTTAGGTAAGAGGGATGTCACAGTTTTCTATCTACTCTTGGAATGTTTTGCCATGAGAATCCTGGCACAGTCCTCCACTTAGAAAATGAGAGAGATAAGCAAAAAGAAGGAATAAGGAAGAGCAGGTGTACTAGAAGGATGAAAATGACAATGGCTTCATCTTTAGTTGTACAAAGTGAGAGGTGATGGTGGCTCAGATGGACAAAGACATGTTGAAAATAGATTCAGCAGAATGGTCAGGAGAGCAACTCAGATAATGCAACGTCCAGAAAGTTTAGAGAAGGCAAGCAAGAGGACCAAAAACAGGACCTTGAGAAATGCGGACCTAGTAGACAGAAGTAGGAAAAAGACACACAGAATAGGCTTTCAGAGAGGTAGGACTACCAGAAACTTTGAGCTTCCAGAACTCAAGAGAGGGTTTCAAAAGAGGGGTGGTAAAGAGTAATCAATATTATACGTAGATCAGAAAAACTAAACACTAGACCGGGGGGTCAGCAAACTATGACACCCAGGCCAAAGCTAACCTGCTGCCTATTTTTTTATACACAAAATTTTCTTGGAATTCAACCACTCCTATTCATTTATGTATTGTCACAGCTGCTTTCATGCTGTAAGGGTAGAGTTGAGTAGTTATCCCAAAGACGATATGACCCACAAGGCCTAAACTGTTTACTACCTGTCCCTTCACTTAAAAAAAATTGCCTAAGCATTAAATATAAGGGCTGGTATATGATATAAGCTCAAATATCTGTTGAATTAATGACTAAATGAGAAGAGTCCATTATACTTGGAAACAATCAATGACCTTCAAGAAAGCAATTTATGAAGCAGTCATTAAAAGTCATAAAGATTCTGGAGCAGTCAGGAGGGAAGTGGTTACAGACACAAAATAGAAGAATTAGATTTGAAGAAATAGGAGGAGTTACTTATCTCTGACAAAAGATAAAGAGAATAAGAGTGATAGTAGAGAAATATTCTAAGATGAAGGGTGAGAACACCGATGAAGCCCCTATTGGATTATTTGATCTCATATTTGAAACCAACGACTTCCATGTTCTTGAATAAAATGGAAAAGGAAATGAGAATATTTGGAAAATTCTCACGGAAAAAGTGGCTGGAAGTGAAAAAGAAAAGGATTAAAAAGAACATTTAGTAAAAGAGTAGGGTCCTCTTGAAGCTGAAGTGCACAAATGGGCATGTTAATGGAACAAGAATAATATATATGAACAAGTACGTGTATGTATCTATGCTATTGACACATGTGGATTTCCTGTGGAGGGTAGGTTTATTGCTGTCCTTAAGTTTCAGTTCAAAATACTGCAGTGAGGACCCCAAACCCAAAGAGAATTTAACAACTTGAAGATGAAGTCAATACTCAGTTACCTGTGCATTATTCTAATTTTCTGGCCCAGAGAAAGCAAATGGCTAACTCCATATTTCATCATCTTGTAACTGACAATTGACATAAAAAGTAGGCCGGGCGCGGTGGCTCATGCCTGTAATCCCAGCACTTTGGGAGGCCGAGGCGGGTGGATAACGAGGTCAAGAGATCGAGACCATTGTGAAACCCCATCTCTACTAAAAAATACAAAAATTAGCTGGACATGGTGGTGTGCACCTGTGGTCCCACCTACTCAAGAGGCTGAGGCAGGAGAATTGCTTGAATCCAGGAGATGGAGGTTGCAGTGAGCCGAGATCGCGCCACTGCACTCCAGCCTGGCACCTGGCAACAGAGCAAGACTCTTGCCTAAAAAAAAACCAGACATAAAAAGTACTGGTCTGACAAGTACTCATGATCCCCTTTTATGACTCTTAGCAATGAGTGGCTAAATATATTTGTATCTGTATTTCCTTAAAGCAGGATTCTTTATCAGATGGGTGAGTCAGGAGCTAAGTGCAGAATGGCTAGGACACACAGAAGGTGTGACAGTGGATTCATGTCATCTTCAAGCATTTCCCCTAACTCATCTCTCTGGCCCCTCACAAGGGAAGAACGGGAGGGTGAGGATCAAAATGAGGATGGCAATGGATCTCTTAATCCATGTCGTAGTCCATTTGTGTTGCTATGAAAATAAATGAGGCTGGTAATTTATAAAGAAAAGAGGCTTACTTGGCTCAGAGCTCTGCAGACTGTATAAGGAACATGGTACCAACATTTGCTTCTGGTAAAGATGTCAGGATGCTCCCCTTCATGGTGGAAAGGGAAGGGGGGCAGACATGTGCAGAGATCACATGGTAAGAGAAGAGGCAAAAGAGAGAGAGAGTAGGTGGTGCCAGGCTCTTTTCAACAACAGTTCTCATGGGAACTACAAGTGAGAACTCATTCCTATGAGAATGGCACCAAACCATTTATAATTGATCTGCCTTCAGCATCCAGACACCTTCCATGAAGCCCATCTCCAACACTAGGGATCAGATTTCAACATGAGGCTTGGTGGGGCCAAACAAACCATATTCATATGGCAACCTAGGCTTGGTGGGGCCAAACAAACCATATCCATATGGCAACCTAAAATTTGAATTTCTCCTTCCTTATTTTTATTGATATCTTATTCTAAGAGCCACAGTGGTATATTTTCCTCATT